TGAGAACCCTACACAGGGTCACTATGAGTCAGAGCTGACGCAACGGCACTTCTTCACATTGTGTAATGAGATTTCTGAACCTCTATTATTAACTTTTTTGGGGAATGAAGTAATTAAAAGGAGAAAAATCGCTCATTTACTAATATTATAGTTAATAATATAATTCAATAAAAACATTTGCAGAACATTTTAATACTCTTATGAGCTAAGATTTCATTTCCGCAGGTTACTATTGTATTATGTATTATTCTGATTGAAATCAGTAATAAACAGCAGTAAGGGGCATGTAGGGTCTGATGCAGGAGAAAGGGCTGTGTGTGTGGGGAGGGTGGACAATAACCCATTACACCATTGCCATTTTTGTTAAAGTTCTGTGTACAAAGACACATGTGCAAGAACATGTGGGACTACTTACACAAATTGCCCCTGTGAAGAGAACTGGAAGGCCTACGGGTTAGGAGAGCCAGGGAACACTTCCCTTTTCTGCAGATGATTGTTTTCAAGCTTTCTACTTTGAGTAATTTTACACTTACTTTGAAATATCCATAACTTGAGTTGCAAAGATAAGAGTCCTCAGATATCCTACCTAAGCCCAGCTTCTCCAAATGGATAATAAGAATCTCACTTTAAGATAATCACATGAATAGTCTATCTTCCAGTGAATCCATCTACCTTTCTTTTCTCCTTTAGGAGTTCTGGTGTGGTACTGTAGGATAAGCACAGGACTGCTAATGACAAGGTGGATGGTTCAAACCCCCACCAGCGACTCCTTGGAAACCCTATACAGGGTCACTATGAGTCAGAACCAACTCATCAGCACTAACAACAAACCAGCCTGAAACATTGCAGGCACAAATACATGAAAATATTGTATTTAACTCTCATTTCCATCACCTATTTTTTTCCTCCATCTTCACTGATTATTTCTTATACAGGTATGTTTTCTAAGAAATTATGTTCATTCAATTTACTAAAATACTAGAGGCAAAAGACTGATAGTACATGAAGCACCTCAGTTCCACTTTTTCAGTCTTGGGAAATACCACTCAAATTAATCTCCAAGAAATTAAACAATTAGGCAAAAAGTACTGTCCTTCATATTGTAACTAAGATGATTAGCATATAAATACAACACAAATGAAAAACACAAAGGCTGGTGTTACCAAATTATTACAGCTGCTCCCGGCTTCCTTCAACACTCCTTTGTGTCCACTGAAAAGACCCAAAACATCAGTTTTCTATTTAACCAGCCTGCCATGTGTTTCGTTTGGAAAATGGTTTCAAAAGGTTTGAATTAAATTTTGACATTTAAAACAGATTTTGTGGGGCTACAACGTGTCTAGTGAAGGAGGCTTCCTGCGGATCCTCTGTAATACATAAGGTGGGAAGCCTGAACCACATCCAGATCTCCAGAGATGGGAAATTCCCACTTGAAAGGACAAGCAGACCAACCTGGGGTGGCTAGAAGAACAGAAGATGCTTCTTGAAAGAAAGACCACCTACAGGAAAAATATAAAACAACATAGGCAGACCAACTGTTACTACAAGAACAAGCAACTTGCTTGCCCAGGAAACATCAAGGCAAGTGGTCGGGTCCCCTCAGTGCAAACCCCCTTCCAAGACTAAGACTCAATGAGAATACACACTATGAATGGTGACCACACTCGACACCGATAAGGGGAAGTGAAGGAAAAACAGCAATGAAGAGGTGAGCTAAGCCCTACAACGTTCAATAGACTTCTGTGAACCCGGGTGAAGACCTGGTTGGCCAGCAGTGTGGCAAGACCTGGGGACTCTTGGGCCCAGAGTCAGTGACATAGCCACAGAGGACTAGAGTGGAGAGTGAAGTGTCCAGCTGATAAGAAGAGAGGGCATATGCATAAGAACACCCACACTTGCAGATAATACCCACTTGTCCTGGCTTCAATGACTGGATGATCAGAGCTCAACCAGAAGAAGAAGAGGGAAAAACAAAAAGGTATTCTCATACAATTTGATGACCTTGACCTACACCTATGGAAGCAGTAGCTCAAAAGAGGGAACAAGTCCTAACAGCAAGAACCATTCCCACACCCTCCACACACAGAGTAGACAGGGATGGGCAACTTGGACATTGGCTACCCAAAATGGGGGGTGGGGAGCTACAAAGGCAAGAAGTGACTGGCTTACAAGCTTTCAAGAGGGAACCTAGATCCAGAGGGCCTGGAGGAAGGTAGAATCTCCAGTGAGTTAGTATTCAATCTGACTAGCCCGGGCAGATGCAATGAAATACAGACGGGTCTCTTGTGATACAATAGTGAATAATTGTTATCAGGACTGATTGTGAGGGTTGGAAATGTAAAGGTAGACGTTTTATAGCAAGGAGGGGAGTGATTAACTTTTCAGTCTAGGAGCGGGGTCCCTAGGACCATCAAGGGAGAAGAGCAGAGCGCGGGACCCTACCCAGAGAAGCAGTGATGCCTGAAATGGAGCCAGAGATGATGACGTGGAGCAATGTAGCGGCTGGAGACTTTAGATCCAGAGAGGGAGAGCGACTGTGTGCTGAAGACCTGAGGGGCACGGAGGAAGGATTGCATGGAGGGGATTGTAACCATGGCAATGAAGATGATATACGATAGAATGAATGTAAAACTAATGTTCTCCCAAGTAAACTATCACATAATTCACAATAAATCATTTAAAAAAAAACAAACAAACAGATTTTGCCAAAGAAAAATAACCAAATGTCAAGATTTTCTTAAACTATTGAAAGATTTGGTAACACTTTACCCACGTTAGTCAAACTCCCTAGAAGAAACAGATTTGGGTAGTGTCTCTCCCATCATGAGTCCTACCCTCCCAACTGTAAATATCATAACTCAAAACTCCCAGAGTCCCTTAGAGTTAGGATGTAGGCATATACTGTTGTTAAGTGCTACTGAGTAGCTCCGACTCACAGCGACCCTGCACAGGGTTTCTAAGGAGCAGTTGGTAGGTCTGAACTGACCACCTTGCAGTTAGCAGTCCAGTGCTTATCCTACAGCGCCACACCAAACACACCTGCATGAGACACTGATTCAGAAGAGAATGACATGAAGCATTCCTACAGAGCTTCTCCAGCTGGACTCTTTTCTGTACTGCAGGTAGCGCCCAGTGTTGGGCTTTCTGGGAGAATAATGCCAGTCAAGGGTGAGGGGGAGAGTGACAGCCACTTCCTCTAGGACCTGAAGAGGCAGCACAGCATTGGTAGTTTGCTCACAAGGCCAGGTCTGTGCATGGTTTGAGGTACCATTCCTAGAAGTATATATAGGCTTGAGTGTGTCCCCAAAACACTTCCTCTATCACTTGAATAACTGCTTTTCCCCCTTAAAAAGCCAGAGTCAGTTTCTGTGGTCTGTCTTCACAGCTTGGCAGGATCTACCCAAACTTCCTATCTTTAGGACATTATATTTACAAAATGCAAATGTTCCTGTTTCCTGATAAGCAGCAGCTTTTATTCTTGGATTAAACCTCAGTGAGGCACAGCCTGCTAGCTTTGCTCTCCCTCCAGGTCTGTCATTTATTCCAACAGCTCCTTGGGAAGTAGTCGGAGGCCAGTTCCTCCTTCATGGTAGACGCCACAGTATACCTGAAGCACGTGTTCAAAGAATGAACGTTTCTGCCCCAGTAAAAATGTAATGACTATTCTAATTCTGAAGTTGATTACTGAACAAAATTACCTTGTTATAATAAAACAAGAGTCCATCCCAAAAGTTTGCAAACTAGTGACCAGTAAGGACTTTAACAAAGTCTTTATATTTGTATCTATGATTTTTGCCTTGTTTAGAAACTTTTGCTATTCTTAGAAGATAATGGGCCTGCAGGTTGCAATCAGCTGGAGAATGCTATTAAGTGCTGAGTTGGTTCTGACTTAAGGTACAGCTGGTAGGTTTGAATCACCAACCCTGTGGTTAGCAGTTCAGTGCTTATCCTAGGGCCACTGTTATATACCACTGTCATCAAGTCAATTCTGACTCACAGCAACCCTCTACAGGGTTTCAGAGACTCTAAGGCTTTCCAGGAGCAGACAGCCTCATGGATCTTCCTCGGAGCTGCTGGTGGGTTTGAACCAGTCGCCTTGCAGTTAGCAAGTTAGCATCCCAATGTTTATCCCACAGCACTACGAGGGCTCCTCTACTAACACTGATGTTGTTAAGTGATATCCAGTCCCTTCATGGTGACTCATACCTATGTGTAGGGTTTCCAAGGAGTGGGTGGTAGGCTTGAGTTGCCAAGCTTGTGGTTAGCAGGCCAGTGCTTATCCTACAAAGCCACACCAGGGCTCCTCACTGATACTCACATACTAAATTTCTACTTTTAATTTCATTTTATGTACCGCCATTTCATGAAAATATTAAGCACCAAAAATTTTAAACTTTTATAAAAGCTTGGATTAAAATAGACTAAACCAAAGTCGGAAAGGATGGGAGAAAGTTGGGACTTGGATTGAAATGATTTTATATTCATTCAAAATTTATAACTGAATGACCCTTCTTAGATCATTAAAGTAATTTACATATTAGAACTTATTTTAAATAGTCAATCATTTGAAGTAGAAATCAGACTCACAGACTATCTTACTAAATCAAAACTGACTTTAGATTATCACCTGTAATCAATTTGGTAAGACACAGTTCGTACACCCCAGTTCCAGCCATAAAACAGGCCATTTCAAATAAAGGATGAGCACATGATTTGCCCTTTAAAACACAAAAATCCTGTCCCTTATATTACAAGCAATGGGTTCACAATGCCTTCCAAACGTTGTAAAGAGAGTTCTCCGAGGCAATATGGTAACTCTTTAAGAAGTAACAAGCATCCAATTAAGTTCCCCTCAAAAAGCTCCTCATAAAAAAAAGGAGCCCACATCTTCAGCTCTTGTACGATTCTAGCCTCTTCCTCACATTCCTGACACGTGTGATCTGTGAGGTATGATGGCAATGCAATCCGCATCTCCCCGGGGTCAGACTATACCTGCCAGCTCAGTATTGCGGAAATGTCTCATCAATTTTGGCAGCCCACGCCATGAGGCCCCCCACAACATCCTGAACTGTTAATGCTTCCAAGTCTTGGGCTGCCATAAAGGACTGCAAGATCTTCACAGCTTTCTGGGAGTCATTGCCCAGTTTGCAAATCACATAAATGGGGAGCGCTGCCCCTGTCTCAGCGCCCTGCTTCCCTTCCCGGATGGCTTCTCCTAAGAGCTTCAGACTCTCAGCATTCCTCTGTTCCAACTGTTTCAGGGGGATGTGAAGGGCATGAGGCAGACTACAGATGTCCACCTCCACTTGAGGCCTAACATCCAGCAACAAGTGGGGTGCCCCAGAATCCAGAAGTCGGCGATAGTCGGTGACAGAGACCCGCTCCTTTGGGCTCAGCAACTGTAGGGAGCGACACTTGTCGGTGGCCGAGGAGCCACAGAAGGCTTCGTAATCCTGCAGGTGCGTTACCGTGGGCTGCTCCCCACAAGCTGCACAGTCGGCCCGGCGCTTCCGCAGCCGAATACAGCGGAACCCTCCTCGGAGGGCATCGAAGAGCAACAGGCTGCCACTGTACGAGGGGCCCAGACCCGCCGCTATCTTCAGTACTTCCAGCGCCTGCAGGCAACCCAGCACCCCGGTTACGACCCCGAGCACCCCGCCATCCGCGCAGTTGGTCACCGTCTCCGCCGGGGGTGGCTGGGGAAAGACACAGCGATAGCAAGGCCCGCCCTCATAGTGGTATACTGTAATTTGGCCCTCGAAGCGCAAGGCGCTGGCCGACACGAGAGGCCGGCCCGCCAACACACACGCGTCGTTAACCAGGTAGCGAGTCGGCGCGTTGTCCGAGCAATCGGCTATCACGTCATAGCGGCGGACCAAGTCTAACGCCGTGGCTGGCGTTAGGGCCTGTGCGTAGGGCACGCACTCCACGGCTGAATTGAGGCGGCGCAGCGACGCGGCAGCCGAGAAGACCTTGGCATGGCCGGCCAGTGCCTCCCCATGCAGCACTTGACGGGCCAGATTGCTCATCTCTACTACGTCGTAGTCCACCAAGCCAATGCGACCAACGCCGGCCGCTGCCAGGTACTGCGCCAGCGGGCAGCCGAGCCCGCCACAGCCCACGACCAGCACTGAAGCGGTGGCCAGGCGTAGCTGGCCATGCACGCCCAGTTCAGGCAGCACGAGCTGCCGGCTGTAGCGCAGAATCTCATCTCGGGAGAGAGCAGCCTTCGGCGGAAGCGGCGACACCGGAACCAGCCGTTCTGGCACAGATTCCTGCTCCTTCAAAAGGGCCGCCGCCAGTCTCTGTTTCAGCGAACTCAGCTCCTCCTCACGTTGAGCAACTTCAGCCCTCAAAGCGAGTATCTCCTCACTGGCAGCCATGGCGCCCTCTTCCGGAAGTTGTCGTGAAAAGCATTTCCGCTTCCGGCTTGCCGTCTCCTAGCAACTGGAAATAAGTAAAATACTTTTCGAACCTGTGAAAAATTGATGTATATCTATTTATAGTAATAGCTTTAATATTTTACTTTAAGTATTATTAACAGATCCTTACTACTTTCTATGGGATTATATAGGGAGTGGTAAAAGAACGTGACCATCCCCCTATTCGTGTATTTGGTACGGCTCTACGCGTCCTTTGGACATACCACGTTGACGTCATTCCGCTTCCGGCATTTCGTGTAGTTCTGTCATGGCCTCAATGGAAATGAGTCGTAGCCTTCCCAGGTCTCGCCGGGATCCGGAGGGGCGAACCCCGCGACAAGACAAATTTTCGGTGCTTTTACCCACCTACAACGAGCGCGAGAACCTGCCGCTCATCGTGTGGCTGCTGGTGAAGAGCTTCACTGAGAGGTAGCGCTCCCGGCCTCCGGTCCCGACCTGAGCTGGCTTCCCCGGTCTGGGTGTCAGCCGTTGGCTGCGCGAGGCGGCCTTGCCGGACCCATTCTCGGCTCCTGCAGGAATCCTCGGGGAGGAGGCCCCTTGCGAGGAGAACACTAGGATACATTTCATGTTCTCTCCTTGCCCCGGATCTCATATCTGCCCTTGAGTTTTGTGCGGCCCTTCTTTACCATAAATGACTTTCCTTCACCCTCGGCCGCCGTTTTCTTTTTTCGTTATTCGGCCGTTCTGTTACTTGGGAGTGAGGCTAATCTCAAACCTCCCTCTAGGCCGTGACGATCTGCGGCAGGAATCTCCACGAAGTCCCCGTTCGGTCCTGAGCTCTTACGTAAGAATGAGGTTTGTGTGGGTTGGAAGTGCTGCTGGACGGGATAACGTTTCTGGAAGAAAACAGATGGGCTCTGCGCGGCTCACATGAGCTAGAATGTGGGTGCTTGGTGTGGTTGATGGAAACTGGGAGTGAGGGAGGGAGGTGTTGGAGTTTGGGTTTTAAGTGTTACCCAATTTTTAGGAAACTGTACAAACTCCGTTATCAGTACAAAGTAATTTGTTTTATGGTTACATAAATAGGTCACGCTGTCCAAACCGTTGAAGATCTTCCCATGTCAACAGATACAAACTAGATTAATTTGAAAATTGGACAACATTCCTTATAGCTATATTTATGATTTATTGAACGGGTCATGCCAGTGAACACAGATAAATTCTGGAATGGTTTTGGATTTGGGTTTGTCTTGAACAGACTTTTTCACACCTGTTTCCAGCATTTGGAAAAGTGCTTGATACCCAGTGTTCCTTACGAAAGTGAGTCTTGTGGCAAATGCACTCCTTTTTTAAAAATATACCCAGGGTAAAAGTTCTTGCAATGGATTCGCTGGGTCAACAGGGATGTATTTAAAAGTAATCATTACTGCCAAGTTGCTTTCAAAAAAAAGATTGTACCACCCACCTTAAGACTCTAGCTAATTTAAGAGAGTTCCTCGTTTTCCCACCAACCAGCCAATCTGAGCATTACTAAGGTAGGATTTTTGGAAATAAGTAATGGCAAAAAATACTTATTTTTCTATTTGTTATTTCTTTAAGTGAGATAGCTATCTTCACACCTAGCTTTTCCAAGTTTTCTTTTTATTGGTATAATTTCTGTCTTTACTGTTTAGTTTATCTTTTTCTTTTGGTTTCTACAAGGTCTTTCCAAAAGGGGGGAAATAGCTGATTTCATTACAGTTTGTCTTCTGGCTTTATAAATTTTTTTGCAGGTTTTTTTTTTTTTTTTTTTTTTTTTTAAGGTAGTACAATTTCTCATTTCTTTTAATGGTTCTTGAGCATTTTTTAACCAATTTTAAATATAATAGTCCACTCTCATTGAGTTGATGCTAACTCATAATAAAGGAGCTCTGGTAGCGTAGTGATTACAAATAGGGCTGCAAACCTCAAGGTCAGCAGTTCGAAACTACCAGCCTCTCCACAGGAGAAAGATGAGGCTTTCTGCTCCGGTAAAGACTTATAGCTTCGGAAACCCTGTACAGGGTTGCTATGAGTCGGAACCAACTCCACGTTACACCACCACCCACCACCATAATAAAGGAAACGTATTTTATTTTTATTTTTTTTTGTAGCGCAATTACTGAAAGGCAGTTCAGTTTGACTTCTTTTAGGTGCTTCACCCTCATTTACTTGGGTGCTTTGAAATTGAGGATCAGAGGTAATTTTGCCTGTGAATTACCCTTTATTTAGGAGTTATTATCTCCTGTAAAAGACACATCAGTTAGAATCATCATCAAACATCTTGGCGTATAAAGCAATAGATCCAGTGTTAAGATGTCATTGTTGTTATGTGTCATCAAGTTGATTACGACTCACAGAGACCTTGTATAGGGTTTCCAAGGAGTAGTCACTCCTTTATGACTTTACGGTTCAAACTGACATTGCAGTCAAGTGCTTATCCTATAGTACCACACCAGGACTCCCCTAAGGTATCATTTGCTGTTAAATGCTGTTGGGTCAGTTCCGACTCATAGTGACCCTATATAGGGTTTCCTAGGAGCAGCTGGTGGATTTGAACTGCCAACCTTGCCATTCAATCCAACCTTGCGGCCCAGTGCATTATCCTGTAGCATAATAGGAAGCTGAAATCATTGAAATCTTTCAAGTTTTGCTGGAACTGTCTTTTTCAAGTCTTTAACAGTGAATATGTTTTATGGTTGACTTTCTGGCATGTTACTTAAAGGGGACCAAGAGGAAATAATGTTGTATTGTGGGGTTCGCCTGTGCCCCCTTTTTCTTCTTTCCCAAGGTTCCTGATAAAGTTAACAAAAAGAATGTCTTTGGAAGGAAAAATAGGAGAAATGGTGGTAATCCATCAGGTGGAGGTTGCTTGGAACCATTAGTAGAAACTTCATATGAAATTATTGAAAAGTAACCTTCAAGTCAGTTTGACTCATGGTAACTTCCTGTGTGCAGAGTAGGACTATCATCCATTGGGTTTTCGGCGTGATGCACTTCTGATTAGGTTAGAACTGCCAACCTTTCAGCTAATCCTCTCAAGACCAAATATTTTCTGCTTTGATGTTTTGTTCAAATCATGTGTTTTCTGTAATGGCATTTTGAATGAAATGGGGTGTGGGGAGAACCTTTGAGGTAATGTGGATTCTGATACAGTTAGTGGGATACACATGTCCTGAGGGGCCTCTGGTGCTAGGGTTAGTGGAATGAGACCGGATTCTTAAGAATCACTCAGTTAGACTTCCACCGGATGCCAGCACACATGTTTCCTATACATGTATACAAGAAAGCAAAAGGGTATTAACACAAGAAAGAAGGAAAGGGCCAAAACTGGTGTCAAAAGACGCTGAAATTTGCTCTCCAGCAAGAGATGCTAAAACAAATGGAAGAAATGAGGTAAAAGAGATGAACAGAAAATTTCATAGGGCAGCTCAAGAAGACAAAGTCAAATATAATGAAAGGAGCTAAGACCTGGATTTAGGAAACCAAAAGGGAGGAACATGCTCAGCATTTCTCATGTTGAAAGAACTGAAGAAAAAAATTCAAGACTCAACTTTCAATAATGAAGGATTCTATGGACAAAATATTGAATGATGCAGAAAGACTCAAAAGAAGATGGAAGAAATACACAGACTCATTGTACCAAAAAGAAATTGTCAATGTTCAACCATTTCAAGAGATAACAATATGATCAAGAACCAATGGTACTGAACGAAGAAGTACAAGGTACACTGAAGACACTGGAAGAGAACAAGGCCCCAGGAATTGATGCAATACGAATTGAAGTATTTCAACAAACTGATGTAGCACTGGAGGCACTCACTTATCTTTGCCAAAAAATTTGGAAGACAGCTACCTGGCCCACTGATTGGAAGAGATCCATATTTGTTCCCATTCCAAAGAGAGGCGACCCAGCATAATGAGGAAATCATCCAACAACATCACTCATAGCACATGCAAGTAAAGTTTTGATAAAGATAATTCAAAAGCAGTACATTGATGGAACTGCCAGAGATTCAAACGGGGACATGGAACAAGGGATATCATTACAGACATCAGATGGGTCTTGGCTGAAAGCAGATAATACCAGAAAGATGTTTACCTGTGCTATTTAACTATGCAAAGGTTTTGACTGTGGATCATGACAAACTATGGGGATAACATTGCAGAGAATGAGTTTCCCGGAACATGTAATTGTGCTCATGGGGAACTTGTACATGGACCAAAAGGCAATCGTTCGAATAGGACAAGGGACACTGAATGGTTTAAAATCAGGAAATATGTGTGCTGGGATTGTAATCTTTCACCGTATTTATTCAATCTGTATGTTGAGCAAATGATCTGAGAAACTGGATTATATGAAGAACGTGGTATCATGATTAGAGGAAGACTCATTAACAACTTGCGATATGCGGGTGATACAACCTTGCTTGCAGTAAGGGAAGAGGATTTAAAATACTGATGAAGATCCAAGACCACAGCCTTCAATATGGGTCACACCATAATGTAAAGAAAACAAAAAATCTCACCACTGAACCAGTAAATAACATCAGGGTAAATGGAGAAAAGATTGAAGCTGTCTAAGACTTCATTTTGCTTGAATCAGCACAGGTGAACATGAACACTCATGGAAGCAGCATTAGGCAAATCTATATAACACCTCTTTAAAGTATTCAAGAGCAAAGATGTCCATTTAAGGCCATGGTATTTTCAGTACCCTTACTTGCATGTAAAAGTTGGACAGTGAATAAGGAGAAATTGGTAATTTGAGTTATGGTGTTAGAGAAGAATATTAAAAGTACGGTGGACTGCAAAGGAGTTCTGGTGTGGCGCTGTGGGTTAATGTACCAGACTGCAAAGCCGTTTGAACTGCAAGGTTGGCAGTTCAAGCTCACCAGCTGCTCCTTGGAAACCCTATACAGGGTTGCTATGGGTCGGAATCAGCTCAACAGCACTTAACAACAACAACACGGACTGCAAAAACAAGTCTGTCTTGGAAGAAGTACAGTTGAATGCTCCTTAGAAACCAGGATGGCAAGACTTCATCTCTCATACTTCGGACATATTATTGGGAAGAGCAAGTCCCTGGAGAAGAACATCATGCTTGCTAAAAAGTGAGGGTCAGCAAAAAAGAGGACAACCCCAACAAGATGGACTAACACAGTGGCAGCAGCAGTGGGCTCAAGCATAACAATTATGAGGTTGCCACAGGACTGGGCAGTGTTCCATTCTGTTAAAGGGTCAATAGGAATTGGAACCGACTTGACGGCATCTTAACAATAAGAGCATATTTCCACTTAGCCTCCTAGACAGAAAGTGTAGATGGATGGACACTGTTATGTATCACAGTTCACAGAGTAATAGTGCATAGTCATTTGTACCACTCCAGGACTCTGAAAAATTACAGTGATACATTAATTTTGTAGCTCTGTGACATCTTGTAATTCTCTGCTGACATTTGCTACTATAGGATGGTGATCACAACTATTCAAATAGCGTCTTTAGAGTGTTTTAAGTCACCATCCCAGTCTGAGGTGTTTTTTTTAAGGGCATAATTGAATCTGATTTTATATTACAATTCAACTCCATTTCTGGAGTTAATAAATAAAATTTCATAAGTTACCATATATCTGTATACAGCATATACATATATTTTAATCAAAGAGTATGGTTTCTATATGAGAACAGTTTAATGTATTAGCTCTTTAATAATAGCATTTAATAATAATGCTGAGTTGAGTTTAGATATAAAGTACTAAATATTTGGCATTTCTTATTTCATTGGATAATGGAAGTTTTCTTTAGCAACTAATGTAGCAATACATTGTCACTTACATTGATGAGTAATTAATAATTTTTAAATTGTTATTTTTAAAATTATTTTGTTGTTGAGAATATGCATAGAAAACCATGCACTGACTCAACAGTTTCTACTGCTGGTGACATTCTTTGGGTTGTGTAACCATTCTAATTCTAACCCTGCTTTTCTGCGTTCTTCTTCCTCAGGAACCAATTCACTGTCCCCTGAAGTTCCTATTTAATCTTTCCAATTACTGCTGTCACTTTGACCCTATTTAGATTGTTCTTCAAGAGAGCAAGATGCTCAAGGCAGACATTTTTCAGCTAAACTGTTGCTTGGTTTTAAAAAGACTTCAGGGGATCTTTTTGGTTTAATGTTTAAAGATTATCTCAGGACAGTTGTTCCAGATGTTTACCCAACCCATAAGACTCCAGAAGTGTAGAGTCCGTGAAAAGTTTTCATTATGTTCTGTATAAAATAATTTTAAAATTTGAGAACACGTTTTCCAAATATTAAAAAAATTTTTTTTTTTTTAATTTTAGTGGCATCAACTATGAAATTATAATCATAGATGATGGAAGCCCAGATGGAACAAGGGAAGTTGCTGAACAGTTGGAAAAGATCTATGGATCAGACAAAATTGTAAGTTACATGAATATTTTGTGTCTTTTGTGTTTAGTTTATGTATAGAAAATCTGAAGAATGAATAGTGCTCTAAGTTACTTGTGTAGGAGTTGAGAAGATAACGAGTGACTTATCTTTTTATATACATTTTTATTGTAGCTTAGGTTTTATATATTTTGGGTTTGTTGGGTCAGTGTTAATTTATAACAAAACAGGGAACTTCTGTTTGAAGTCAGTTTTTATGACTGACTGCAGAATCGTTTTCTGGAAAGGTACAACTACAGTCTGACACTGAATTACCTGGGAATATTATAGAGCCAGGTTTCACTTAGTAGTGTGTGTCATTGTTACTCTTCCTTACTCCCTCTCTGTAAACAACTAGGAACTGGCAGCTGGGTAGGCTTCCTGTTTGTTTTCACATGTTTGAGAGACATCACATCAAAATGCATTGTACCCACAAACTCAGATTCAGGTCTGATACCTTTTTTCAGTCTGTTTGTTTATTGTCCTGTTGTTCATAACTTTCAGAGCACTTAGCATTTCTCACTTCTTTTTTTACCCGGGTAACAGTCTGTGGAGTAGATTGACTTTTGAACTTGAACTTCCACTGAACCTTCTAGCCTGCTGCTCTCATGAAGAAGTAGCCTAGGCAAATGTACTTAATTTTATAATGGCTTTGTAAATTTTAATTTTGATTTCTGGCTTGGATTTATTTTGGCTTCCTCCAGTTTAATTCATAAATGTTTGAATATACTTGTGAGTTCTACTTTGGATAATTCTCAGACCAAAAACATACAATTGTACGGATTTGATTAGAAAACACATTCTTGTGGTGGTTGTGTGCCATCGAATGAATCAGTTGTAAGTCATAGCAACCCTATAAATCTTTATGGGAACAGAAAGCCTCATCCTTCTCTCATGGAATGACTGGTAGATTCGAACTTCTAACTTTGTGGTGAGCAGCCCAGCTCACAGTCCACTATGCTACCAGGGCTCCTTAAGAAAACACATTCTAGGCATTAAGTATTAGTTGTCGTGTGTATAGGCCAGGTGTTCTCAACCACAGCACTACTGACATTGTAGACTATAGAATTCTCTAATGTGTAGAGAGTGCCTGTCTATTGTGGGATGTTTGGCAGCATCCCATAGCACATAGTATCGATTCCCCTTCACCACTAAGAACCCTAGTATGTATACATCAAGAAAGAAGTCTCTTGGAGAATCTTTTCTGACATTTGTGTTTCAAGAAATGGAAATAAGCATTGCGAGAAATAGTTGCTGGGTCCAAGTATTCTTTCTTTTTTCCTGTAAAATATTACAGGGATTAATCCAAGTAATATAAGTAACTTGTATTATTACCTTAAACGTGAATGTTGGTTGGAGGAAATTTTGATTAGTGGGAAATGTTTTACTTGTATACATATGAAGTCTATCCTGAATTGTAGATTCTTTCTGTTTATTTCGCAGATAATCAACTCATAGATGTATCAGGCTTCGTGTCCTCTAGGAAAATCTGATATTGGAGTACCCATCTAATTGCCATCAAGTTGATTCCAGTTCAGGGAATCACAAACACCCCATGTGTGTGAGAGTAGAACTGTGCTCCAGTGACTGATTTTTCAGAAGTAGATCTCCAGGTCTTTCTTCTGAGGCACTGCTGAGTCAGCAAACATGCATGTTAACCATTTGTATTACCCAGGGTTTTTTATAGGAGTAGAGAAGGAGCTAAAAAGTTGGCGTCTTCTCATCATTCTAGATTTTGGGCTTGGGTACTGGCTTTTCCTTATAAAAGCCTCTTGTATTGCATCTCTTTGTTGAAAGATTTCCATTTGTCTTCTGTCAGTTCCCAGGATCTTTTTTTTTTTTTTTTTTTTTTTTAAATCAATTCCTTCAATGCAACTTGGACTTTTTCCTTCAGTACCATTGTTTCTAATCAGTTCTGTTGCTTTGGACATGGCCAGGATCACATAGCACTGAGTGTTGTGACTCCTGAGCCCATGTTCCTACCCTGTCGTCTTGTGTCACATAGAAAAGGGCAGTCAGATTGATGTGAGCCGGTAAAGAAAGGGGGTGGCATGGAACAAAGGTATGAAATTTGGACTTCTTTATACCTAAGGAATAAACAGGCATTGTCTTGCTAAAGTGAGAGAAAGCTGAGGCTTTCTGCTCCTGTAGAGATTTACAGACTCATACAACAACAGCAACAGTCTTGGTATAAATGCAAGTGTTACCAATAAAGCGGAAGTTGTTTTTGATGAGCGTTTCTTGATTTTTGTTCCTGGTCCTTTCCCAGTGGAGATCCTGCTCAGCAGTCTGGTGTGTTCCCTCGGGCCTTTCCTATGGGTGAACATCTGTAGAACTCTTGGTAGTGCGCTGCTGTTGCTTTTTTTTAAAAAAACATAAATGCAATCTTACTGTACCATTCTCCTTTAAACTATCCCGGCGAGCTTTCCTATCACCAGATACATTTAGTCTTTTAACTGCTCCATAAAATTCTGTCAATTGCAGTATTGTTTAATATTTGTGTAGAAACGAACATTGTCTAAATTGCAAGTAACCAAATTATCCTTTATTTTAAAGAAAACTTTTTTTTCCAGTTTAAACATAGAATTATAGAAAATCTCAGATGACTTATAAAAGATTTGCTTTTCAGGTCTGAAAGCAGAGGTGGTATCTTATCAGTTAACTCTCAATAAGTTGATGATTGTTAGCCACAGATTCAAAGAGAAAAACCTGGTTGTGATCTGACATCTTGTTTGACTTCACTTAGCAAATTGTGGTCATTATAGATAATTGTATGAATATCTTTTCCCTCTTCTATATATGGTGGTGGGAGTGTGCCATGGAGTCAGTTCCAACTCATAGTGACCCTGTATAGGGTTTCCGAGGCCATAAATCTTTATGGGAGCAGAAAGCCTCATCTTTCTCCCATGGAACAGCTGGTAGTTTCATGCTGCTGACTTTGAGGTTAGCAGCCCGATTCATAACTACTACGCTACCAGAGCTCCTTCTATATTTGTTGTTGTTATGTGCCATTGCGTCGGTTCCGACCCATAGCGACCCTGTACAGGGTTTCCGAGGGTGTAAATCTTTATGGGAGTAGAAAGCCTCATCTTTCTCCCGCGGAGCAGCTGGTAGTTTCGAACTACTGATCTTAAGGTTCGCAGCCCGATTCGTAACCACTACGCTACCAGAGCTCCTTTCCTTTTATATAGAGAGCAGGAATATATTTTATCCACTTTTATTCCACCCAAGACCTGCAAAATAGAGTCCTAGTGTGGCACTGGAGGATAAGTGCTGGACTGCTAACTGCATAGCTGGCGGTTCAACACACTAGCCGCTCCTCAGAAACCCCATACAGAGTCACTATGAGACTGACCCGATTCAAGGCACTTAACAATAATAACAAGACTTCCTAAAACTAATGCATCCTGATAGAATTGAGTAGAGGTTTCGTATCTGGAGCAATCTGCATATATGCTGACAAATGCAGAAAAGGACAGGATACGGTCACTGGAGAGCCTACCTGAGCCCCATATCTCAAAACCTCAGAAGATTCCAGCCAACAAGTAAACTGTTGTTGTTAAGTACCATTGAGTCGATCCTGACCCATAGCGACCTTTATAGGGTTTCCAAGGAGTGGTTGGAAACCTTAAACCTTGCGGTTCAAACCAACTTTGCAGTCTAGTGCATTAACCCACAGCACCACACCAGGATGCCAAAGAAAAATAAACTACTGAACAATATAAACTGAGACTCCAGATCTGAAGCAGAAATACAGAAAGACTGAGTAATTGACAAACTGTATGTAAAGAGGAAGAATTAAACCTCCATGTTAGTAATATTCCCGTCAAGTCATGTCATTGGGCCAGGAAGAAATGGAAGGAGGTCATCCAAGCATAAAGTCAAGACACTAAGTTAAGGAAGGGAGAGTGGTTTATACACATGGAAAATTACAAAGGGAATTGGAGAAGATGTAAAATAAATAATTATTTCTTCAGTTTTCAGTAGATATTATTTATCGTTGTTGTTAAAGTGCCTTCAAGTCAGTTCCAACTCCTAGCTACCCTTTATAGAGGTTTCCAAGGAGCAGCTAGCTGGTGGGTTTGAACTGTCCACCCTGTGGTTTACAGTCCAATGCTGATCCTATAGCACCGCACCAGGACTTCAGATACTGCCTAGTTGATAATAAAGAGATGTAAAAGTGTATTTAAAATGTAACTGATGACACCAGGGAAGAACCAGTTTGAACTGTTGTCTGTGGTCCTAGCGTAACGACTTGCTTTCCCTCAAATGCTCTGTTAAATTATTGGTTTTCTTACTGAACACTTGTGTGACTTTGGCAGAAATGCTGAGCATAACATGCTTTCTCTTTTGAAGATATTAGTATAGTTAATTTCTGTTAATAAGACTTAAAAATTACTTAAGAATTAAGTAAAATTAAAACCAGTCATTTCTATTTGTGTTAAACTGTTTTTTATTCTTACAGCTTCTAAGACCACGGGAGAAAAAGCTGGGACTAGGTAAGTAAAACCTCATCACCTCTCATACCTACTCCTTGCCTTGGTAAGATTATCCAATTCATAGTCTCCCGGTGTAGAACAGGGCCAAAATGTAGTAACTCTCTGTGACATATATATGTATTTAATTTCTTTTCTTTAGCACATACATCACTATTTACCTCTGTCCTATTTAGCTCATGCAACCCTGCCTCAGTGTTCCCCTATCTGCCTTGTTCTTCCACCTCCGTCCCCCTTCTTCTGTATTGCCCTCCCCAACACCCGAACTATGATATGTCTATCCCCTATCCTGTGCACTACTGTCCCCTCCCCCCATGCCTGCCCCCATCCTCACCTTCCCTACAGGTAACCAACAAAGAATTTTTTTTCCCTTTTAGTATGGATATCTTTTCTTAATTGTTCACAATAATAGTCTTATACAAATATTTGTCCTTTTATGACTAGTTTCACTCAGCATAATGTCCTCAAGGTTCATCCATGTTATGCGGTAGCTTGCAGTTTCCTTTTTAATTCTTCAAAGTAGCATAATGTTCCATTGTGTGTATGTGCCCAAGTTTGTTTATCCATTCTTCTACTGATGGGCACTTAGGCTCTCTCCATCTTTTTGCTATTGTGGATAGCCTGCTATGAACATTGGTGTGCCTATATCTACTTGTGTTATGAACTTGTATTTCTTGTGGATATATACCAGGTAGAGGAATTGCTGGATCATAAGATACTTATATTTCCAATTTTCTGAGGAAACACCATATTGTTCTATGATTTTTTTTTTTTTTTTTAAGGTTTTTATTGTGGATTAAGTGAAAGTTTTCAGGGCACATCATCGGTCTCACATTCAAACATTCATATACCTTGTTTCATTAAATTGATTATAATCCCCTCCACATACCATCAGTTAACAGAGTTTCTCTCTATCCTCTTTAGCTTTTTTTTTTTGGGAAAAACTTTGCCTTTTTGGAATTTACAGTCTCGGCTTTTAGGGAAGGTTTTTACATTTATCTGTGGGTATCCAGGGCTCATGTCTGGAATTACTAGCCAGCATAACTGAATACTCCGATAAGGGACATTTTGCTATGTCTGCTAGGTGGCTAAAGTCTGATCCTCAGAGCCTATGGTTTGGATGGTCAGCAACGCTTGGGCCCACAGGACCTTGAACTCCTGACCGGGTCTGCATCAGATTCCCCCTTATTTATTATTTGTTTAAGGGACGCTGCCTGTCTTAGGCGGTCAGTGTCTATGATATTTTTTAATGATCATGGCGTATAAATGGTTTGATGTAGGCTACCCTATCAGTCAGGCCCATGGAAAACAGAAACCATTGTAAGTCTGTGCAGTACAGGGAATGTACAATTCCTTACACAGGTGAGGGAATTGCTGAGAAGCCAAATGAAACAGTGGGGCTACTCAGAGAGTAGCAACAACTGGGGGCCGCTATTACCTGTAGGGATGGATCAACAGTGGCAGGAATGAAGGATACCTGGCAGGAATTGAAGACATGGAAGGTACCCAGCTACAGCTGGGAGACAGAGGAAGGGAGGTAGGACACTTAGACCCTGCCACTTTTCCTCCCTGCAGTCTTTCCCTGTAACTCCCATTGACCAAAGATGTTAGGAAGCCGATTGCCAGAGAACCTGGAAAATGTAATTCATTACAATATAAGACAGTATAGGGAAGGGCCAGAGAAATTCTAGGTCTCGGGGCAGACATCTTGGACCAGGATGTCACTTTAGCTGGTACTTCTGAGATGAAAATCTGAATACCCCCAGTCCTCACTGTCAACATGATTAGGATTCCAAGGACCCCAGGCTGTTCCGTGAAAATTGTGTTGTGCAAAAGTGGAGAATTGATCACATCGGGCCAGAAAATAGATGATGACTCCATCATTACATAACTGCCATCATTGCTCAGCTGCTAAAGTACTGAGAGCTGGTACCCAGCCAAGTTGGCTTGTACCCAGTATAGCAGCATTGCTACGTCACCTAGCACCTCGGCATTGGTTTCTGCCAGATGTACACTGTTCATGCACAAAATAGTTGGATAGTAGATTTTTTGCTATTGTCATAAATGCAGTGTCAGATAATGAAATAGTAAGCAAGGAGTTGTTGTGAAGTGCTGTCGAGTTGGTTCTGACTCATAGCAACCGTGTATAGGGTTTCCGAGGAGCAGCTGGTGGGTTTGAACTGCTGACCTTATGATCCTACAGTGCCACACCAGGAGTCCAAGCAAGGAGTAGGTGTACCTGTTTTTCCTGTTAGTCATGGTTGCTCATGTTGAAAATTGGTATAATTTCAATAAAAAATTGGGGAGTGTGGAGGAAGCATAATTCTTAAAAGTTAAAACATTACCTTATCGCATGACAAAAAGTTTGAATCCAGAAGATTTTGTAGGATTGAAATAGTGTGAGAACTACCGTAAAAACAGCCAAGAATTACCAGTGATTCACACAAAGGACTATAGATCATCACTAGTTAACAAATGCAGCTGGAAGAGATCAACTGGCTAGTAAGATCTCTGAGGGTTTAGGATTCCATTGCTCCTGAGCAGTTACCCTTTCCTGCCAGGTCCCTGAGCAGTTTGTAGACATAAGGTGGTAAATTATCTGTTAGCTATATCTTTGGTATATCAAGTGTAGGAGATGCTTTCTGAATAGCTTTTGTGGGAATGGACTTGGTTTATTGCATAAGGGAGCAGGATCAGAGTCCAAGCATCAAAAGATGATGCCTGGGATAAAAGTGGAGACAAAATAATGGAATTGAGAGATGTTTTACATATACAATCAAGTAGATTTCATTTTAGTTTAGAAATAGGAGGAAAAGGCAGGAAATCAAGGTCATCACTAGACTTGTAGATGGAGGGATTGGATAGTGGATGGTGCCATTTCCTGAGAAGCAGCCTACTTAGGGGTGAGACATGGGGAGTTGACTTTAGAATATATTTGAAATTTCTGAATATCCCACTGGAGCTAGGTATTATGCGTAGCTCTGAAAAGATGCTGGCTTAACTATATGAGATCAAAGAGACAAAAGCAACTTGAAACATTGGGTAGGAGGAACCACTCAAAAAAAGAGGGTAAGAATGGTTCCTGCAAAATGGAGGGAGATGATATAACCTTGCTTGCTGAAAGTGAAGAACATAATCAGTTTCACTGTGTTACTCCTGTTGAAACAGTTGAATTGGTTAGACTCATCTATATGTAGATACTTAGAAGCTCCCATGAGAATATGATCATTTTTTTAAAAAATATAATGTAACTGTTGACTTGCTAAACTGAAATAGAAATCTACTCTTTTCTGTTAAATCAGCATCTGAATTGGAGGCCACCTTACCTCCCTGTCTCTGTGTGTTGTATCTTATCTATATTCCTTAGGTGACTAGCTACAAGTTTATTAGTATCACCTTTGGAGCACTAGCTTGCACTGGTCATCTGCTTAACTAACAATGTCCTTCCTATTTCAATGTGTTCTTAAATATTTCTGGTGAATTTTTTAATGGGTAGCAATACTTTGATTTTTAGGAACTGCCTATATTCATGGAATGAAACACGCCACAGGAAACTACATAATTATCATGGATGCTGATCTCTCACACCATGTAAGTAAGTAGTTTCTTTATTAGCTGCTTATGGAAGTTTTAGCCTGTTTTACTGACTTGCTGTTTATTCTTTCTAAATTTCAGCCAAAATTTATTCCTGAATTCATTAGGTAGGTATTATTCCTAATACTTGAAAGAATTATGGTCCAGACCATTTCTCTTCTATTGGTTTGGATTCATTTATACTTTTCATTCTGTATGAAAAATTGCACATGCTATTTAACAGTTTCTTTTTAAAAAATATAGCTAACATATAGATTTGAGATTCATGTAGATAGAGATGTGACTAAATAAGATAATTTAGGAGTCTTGAGGGACAAATGAACAGCGAATTCCAATGTTATCTAAATTCTTCCAAACCACAAAAACAGAAGAAAGACTTCCCTGTTAATTGGATGGAGCCCTGAATCAAGACAGTCAGACACCATAAACAAGTATGGTTTATACAGGAATGGCACAATGACTCATCCCATGAAGTCTGTCGACATAGTTCATTTATCACATTCAGCAAGAAAAGCAGGACGACTAACACTGTAGGTGCTAAACTGTATTTGATAAAACTCAGCCATCTCTAGTAAAAACTTGAGAGTGGGCGTGGAAGGAAAGCACAGTAAACGTGATAAATATGGCCCTGTCCAGGCAAAAATATCACACCAAAGGCGAGATGCAGACACATTTCCAGTAGATACTTCAAGATAGGCATCATTCAACTTGAGATTTAAGTCATGCAGAAAGTCAAGTATCTAGTAAGGTGTTGGTAAAGGATGTTGTTTGAGGTGCCATTGAGATGGATTCTGACTCATAGCCACCCTGTATTCACAACAGAACAAGACACTGCCTGGTCCTATGCCAGCCTAACTATCGTTATGTTTGAGCCCATTGTTACTGCGACTGTGGCAGTCCATCTTGTTGGGGGATCACATGTGTTGATTCTTCTGCCGTCTTCCTTATTCGCTGTCCAGCTTTCACATGCATATGAGGCCGTTGAAAATATTGTGGCTTGGGTCAGTCCTCAAACTGGCATCTTTGCTCTTGAACACTTTAAAGAGAGAGGTCTTGTGCTGCAGATTGGCCTAATGCAATATATCATTTGACTTCTTAATGGCTGCTTCTGTGAGCATTTATTGTGGATCCAGGCAAAGTGAAGTATTTGACAATATCATTCTCTTCCCCATTTATCATGATGTTATTTATTGGTCCAGCTATGAGGCTTTTCGTTTTCTTTACATTGAGATGCAATCTATACTGAAGGCTATCATCTGCATCAGTAAGTATTTTAAATACTCTTCACTTTCAGCAAGCAAGGTTATATCATCTCCCTCCATTTTGCAGGTTGTAATGAGTCTTCCTTCAATCCTGATAATCCCATTCTTTTTGTAATCTTGTATTATTTGCTCAGCAGACAGATTGAATAAGTGTGGTGAGAGATTATAACCCTAGTATGCATTTTGCTGATTTAAAACCAGTCAGTATGCACGTGTTCTATTTGAACAGCTGCTTCTTGGTCTATGTAAGGTTCCTCGTGAGCACAATTAAGTGTTCTGGAATATCCATTCTTCATAGTGTTGTCCATAGTTTGTTATGATCTATACATCCAAATGCCTTTGCATAGTTAATAAAGCACAAATAAACATCTTTCAGCCAAGACCCATCTGACATCAGCAATATCTCTTGTGCTTTGTCTTTTTCTGAATCCATCTTGGATTTCTGACAGCTCCCTGCTGATGAACAGCTGCAATAGTTTTTTAATTATCTTCAGCACACTCTTACTCGCATGTGACATTAATGATACATGGTTTGGTGAAAAGTACCAACTTAGGTTCTAATGCTACCACTGCTGCGCCTACGTCTGCATTTTGAACACCTGTAAATAAGGGAGACCATGTTGTCCGTATTCTTTGTAGGTTTGGACAGTGGAAGGCTTCTGACATCAGCCAGTCCTCCAGCAGCACTCTCCACTTCTGTTCTGGGTGTGATAATCCTTTGCAATGGCCACAAAGAACTCAGAGACCTTAATGGTTTTTAAGGAAGCTGCCACAGGCTAGAAGTTAGGATCAGGAAGCTTGTAGGCAAAGTCTCCCTTCTGTAGTTCAGGACAGGCTCTGCCACAGTGCCCCTTCCAGGCCTCTCGTGGCCAGCTCTACTGCTGTTGGGCTGGGCCTCTTTTAGTCATGTCGATGTCTTTATAGCCTGACCCCTGTTACAACTCTTTTTGGACATTCCTTGCCTCATCTCTCTTCTGGCTGTTTTCCCTTCTGTTGGTTTCTGTGTCAGAAACCTCTGTAGGTTTGGCTACATACTTACTCAACTCCTTGTCAATTTTAAGGCGTGGCCCCTCCAAGTAGGTGGTGGTGGTTATATGCTGTGAAGTCCCTTCGACTCATAGTGACCCTATACAGGTTTCTGAGGCTGTAAATCTTTATGGGAGCAGAAAGCTTCATCTTTCTCCTGCGCAACAGCTGGTAGTTTCGAACGGCTGACTGTGAGATTAGCAGCCAGATTCATAACCACTATGCTACCAGAGCTCCTTAGTGGCTACAAAGTAACCAAGCCCTTCTCTGTACTGCTAACTTCCTTAGCATAGTCCTTAACCAATTCCTGCAAGGTGCATACCAATCTCAGGGAGACTACAGCCCAAGGCCAGACAAAAAGTATCAAACCATCAGTTGTTTAGGCTTATCCAGGAAATGTCAACCAACTAGAGCAAAGGTAACTCCCCAGGGGTTAAGGGAAAAAAGCTTTCAATTGGGTTTCTCCAGACAACAAGGCAATAGTCCACATAAAAGCGTTCATTTCACCTCAAGGTGATATCATTAAATTCTTAGAAATCCTGAAAGACCACAAAACACCTCAGAATAGGAGATTGGAAGTTGTTCTAAATGTCAGCTAAAGATTTAAAAACAACAAATGGGATCTTGTCAGAACACTGCTGGCTGTTTCCGTTAACACGTGGAGGAGGTGGATTCAAACCCCTTCCCTTGCCTTACAGGGAGCTGTGCAACCCAGCCCAGCCCATTCTGAGCTCATCTGGTGCCCACTTTCCTTAGTGTGCTACCTCACAAGTATATTTCCTTCAATTTCTGTATTCACTGAAAGCTCTTTGTCCCCATTACCTAGAAAGCTATCTTCTTAATGACTAACAACTTCTTATCTTTGATCTCTGCATAAACTCACCTCAGGGACGCCTTCTCTGACTACCATATTTTTACCATAATCAAAGTTAAAGATCAACCAAGAAAAATACTTGCTCAATACAAAGGACAGGTATCTCTAATACACAAAAGCCCCTTTAACCTGATAAGGGACGGAACCAGTGGAGTAGAAAGTGGGTAAAAGATACAAACAGGCTGTATGTAGAAGAAATCCAAACTGCTAATGAACATAAAAGAAGATATTCAACTTGGGAACAGAATTGCAAATTAAAGTAACTGTGTTAACTACTTTATTGCCCATTAGTTTGTCAAAATTAAAACTTTGAGAGCAGTTACATCTAGTACCGATGAAGATGGCAGCAAGTGGGTGCACTCACTGCAGGAAATGAAAAGTAAACACCTACCTAGATACTCTCAAACCAACTAGGGGGATATGGAGGGTGAATGCTGTATGGATGGTTTTGCAGGTATTAAACATAATAGGAAAAAGCTCTATTAACTTATGGGCATGTCTGGGATATGTGTTATTAAGAGGTGAAAATTAAGTTGCAAAATGTACTTTTTGCATTGCAGTTTTTCTAAAGGCAACCAAAAACTATACAGCTGTGTATGTCTTTGAATTATCTTTCTCTGAGCAAAAAGAACAGTCTGGAGGGATATCGGGCAGAGTGTGGCTCTAGGGGAGGAGGGGTTGAGTTCATAATTTCTTAAGATAGTTTTGGATGGTTTCATGTGGTCCAGTCAGTAGATAACTACGATTTTGTCGTTTTAAAATCAATAAATGGAAATAAAAGGTAGATATTTAAGAACCTAGCTTTGAAAGAAAGCTTTTCAATCGTAGAGTCCAAAAGTCTTCTTGGCGTTCTGATTTTTGAATGTTTTATTGTGGTTTGGGTGAAAGTTTACAGAGCAAATTGGTTTTCCATTCAACAATTCCTTTTGGTCTCCTATGGTTGATGGTTCTGAGGAATAAGTCCTCATGGGTGTAATTGTTCACTTTCTAGGCCTGTATGTTGTTTGGCTGAAAAGTGGTCCCCAGGGATGGGTTCAGTTCCACCTTTGAAGGGTGTCTAAGGGCCATAGTCTCTGGGGTTCCAGCAGTCTCTGTCAGATCAGTGAGTCTGATCTTTTATGATTTCTGCATTTGCCTCTATGATTTTTCTGTGCTTAAAAGTTCTGTCTGTGTTAGCTATGAAAATAACTATTGAAGGTTAGGTGGATTTTTCTAATTGATAGCTAATTTTTCCTGCAGGAAACAAAAGGAGGGTAATTTTGACATCGTCTCTGGAACTCGATACAAAGGAAATGGAGGTGTCTATGGCTGGGATTTGAAAAGGAAGATCATCAGGTGCGTCCTGTGTTCTCATTTCTCCGTCATTTCATGTAACTACTGCAGCGAGTTAGTAGGTGTTTCATGGCATTGCCATGCTACCTTGGAATTTGTGAAACAAGATTATAATTTCTGATAAAATATTCTCACATAGCTTCTTACTTACAATTTTCTCCATGGTCCTGGTGTAGGATAAGCACTAGACTGCTTACCAAAAGGTCGGCAGTTCAAACCCAGGAGCTGCTCCTCGGGTCACTATGAGATGGAACCAACTCAACCGCACGTAGCAAAAGCAGAGTGTTTTATTAAATGAGAAAATAAATTTTTTGACTAAATAGGTATTTTTTTCCCATAGTAACATTTGTATAATTTTAAGTAAATAAGACACATCAGAATTTCAACTACTGTTAAGTAGTGTAACAGATTCCTGGGTGTGTCACTTTGCATATTTTTGCTTTTCTAAGTTTTGTTTTTTTGTTATAACATGGAAATAAATGCTGCTATTTCTTCCTAACAAGCTACACCAAAGCTTAGTGGTGTCAGACAACATTGGCTGGTGGTTCCTCTGCTGGTTTCTCCGGGTTCATTCAAACAGCTTCCTTTAGCAGCTAAGCAAGAAGGGCCAAGATGACCTCTCCCATAGTCCAGCAACTGGTGCTGGCTATCGGCCTGGACATCTCAGTCCTGCACTTTCAACCAGAAAGCTATGCTGGCTTCTCTACAAGCCAGTGTCAGGGCAGCATTCAGCAGGATGAAGACATGGGCTTGGGAGTTCGTGTGCAGCATACATTTTTGGTCCAAGTAAACCCGTAATCAAGAGGATCCCATCTCTTGATGGGAAGACCTTTAAAGACTCTCAGAGTTGTTAGGAAGATGAGATGCGTTTCTGTCTATAAATGTATGTTGTCATTGCTTTCGAGCCATATCCTGCCTACGGGACTGGGTAGGACTGCCCATGGGATTGCCCAGGCTGTGAATCTTCACAGAAGCCCACACTGTCTTTGCTCCCACAGAGGGTTTGAACCTCCGGCCTTTTGAATAGCCACTGAGTGTTTAATCATTGCACCATCAGGATTTTTAAAGGGTCTGTATAGTTTCTTTTTATATAGAAATAGTTAACCTTACAAATGTTGATATTTTCATCACCCACTTTAACCCTGTTGAAGATTTTATTACGTTTACTGAATTGTTTCTAACTGTAGACCTCTGAGCAAGTCCTTCTGATAACAACTAAGAGTCTCAGTAGCTTTCTTAGTAAAATCAAGAGGTTGGATTAGGACAGTGGTTTTCAACTCCAAGCTAAATATTGGAATCATGTCAGTGTAAAAATATCAGTACCCACACAACTGCTTCCTTTTCCTTACTGTATTTGAATGAAATTAAATATGCATTTAATTAAAAATGCATTACCTGGAACAGACATACAAACCTCAAATTAAAAATGCATTACATGGAACAGACATACAAACACACATTGACACACTAGCACACTCCTTTGCTTTGTGAGAGTGAACTGTATCGTAGAATTTTTGTTATAGCAATTAGAAGCAGATTGAGGAGGGAAATGTGTTTTTTTGTCATTATCCCTATGACATCTGCCTAAAAAACAATTGCTGTTGATTCAACTCCCACTCCTGGTGACCCCATGTGTGTGAGAGTAGAACTGTGCTTTCTAGGGTTTTGTTGTTAAATGCCGTCGAGTCGGTTCCATAGCTACCTTGTATAGAGTTTCCAAGGAGTGGCTGGTGAGCTTGAACCACCGACCTGCAGTTCAGTGCAACTTTGCGGTCCAGCGCCTTAACCCACAGCGCCACTTCAGGACTCCTGTAGGGTTTGTAGTGAGTGATTTTTCAAAAGTAGATTGATAGGCCTTTCTTCTAAGGTTCCTTGGGGTGGACTCAAACCTCCAACATTCTAGTTGTCATCCAAGCACTTAACTATGTGTGTCACCCCAGGAACTCCTTGCCATGTATAATGATAATCTTTCTTAAGGAAGGCCTTCACTGTTTTCCTTGGCTTTGGAGGGAGACTTCTATCTCCAGGCTGCCCTGAAGGCACTGAAGACACTCAGATACCTGAGTACAGCACAAAAGCCAGTTTCTCCAGGCACTTTAGACATCTTTCCAAGTGTTAATGTTAACTGTTAATCACACTAACTTGTAACTTTACAGATTGATACTCAGTATATCTGAAGCACATAAAACCCTAAAGTCATCATCCTGACAGGGTCGGTTTCCAAACACCAACACACTCTCCCGTTTGTGCACCTTCTCTTAAAGCTACTATTCATTTCTATGTAGACTGACTTACTACCCTGCTAAAGACACAATCTGGTAGCGTAGTGGTTACGAGTTGGGCTGCTAACCTCGAGGTCAGCAGTTCAAAACTACCAGCCGTTCTACAGGAGAAAGATGAGGCTTTCTGTTCCTGTAAAGCTTTATAGCCTCAGAAGCCCTCTTGCTATGAGTCGGAACTGACTTCATGGCACACCACCACCACCACCAAAGATGCAATCATTTTTGTGTTGATTGGAAAAGAAAACTCATTGATAAATCCCTGCTCTCTTTCTGACAGGTGTTCATACTCAGGGGCTTCAAAAAGGTCACGAAAAAATGGAAAGAAAAGATGTGGAATTTTCCCACAAACTTCTTGAAGCTCCCTCATATTTTTAAATGACTTCTGGTAAATGTTGCTGTTGTTGTTGTTAAGTGCCATTGAGTCAATTCCGACTCACAGTGATCCTGTATAGTGTTTCTAAGGAATGGCCGGTGAGATTGAACCACAGACCTTGCAGTTCAAACCAACTTTGCAGTTCAATGCACTAACCCGCAGGGCCATAGGAGGAGGACTGGTAAACATTATCAAAGTTAATTTGAAAATCTGTTTTAGTTCTTAAAGTTTAGATAGATGGTTCATTATGAGAAATCTTCCAAGTTTCATTTTTCAAAGAGGAAAAATCCTTAGGTTCTCTAAAAATAAAGTGCCATAGTTCCTTTCACTGACTAAAAATGTCTATAGTGAATTAACATTTTTGTGAAATTAGCAAGGCACTTTCATTGTCCTTTTTCTGGCTATGTTTCTCCAGAATAAACTGTATTTTATTTTGTGTTGGCAGCCGGGGGGCCAATTTTATAACCCAGATTTTGCTGAGACCAGGAGCATCGGATTTAACAGGAAGTTTCAGGTACAATGAAATTTATAATTTTGTATACTCTAACTACATGCGTAAATTTCTTGCTTTATAATGACTTATTTCAAAGAATTGCTTTGTATTTTTATCCTTTTTTTTTTATTCTGAAACATTCAGAAAGTAGACTGAAGTTCCTTAGACGCTGATAATGAATTCTAAACACCTTAAAGGGAGAGAGAATCGTTTTTCAAGGACATCAATGGCAGGGCTTAAGTAGCAAATTTGTTACCTTCCTGCTGGTGCTCTGCCCCTAAGACCACCACCCAGGGCCCAAGGTCCCCACTCAATGCCCTTTTCCAAAATAACTGTTACTACATGTGCTATAAAGATAATTGTTGTTTTCTAATTTTAGATTTGCTACAGTAACTTAACTGCTTTGTATGACCGTGCCAAGTGACTAAAGAATTGTAGATATTTTATATGACCTGATGCTTTTTCCCTAGTAAATAGCATTGATTCTTTAGTCCCTTCATTAAATACAAGAAAATCTAGGTCCTTAAGTATCACAGCTAACATAGGTATGCATATATAAATAAATTAGGAACTAGTTTTACTTTGGACGTGTTGTAAAGAAGGACCAGTCTCAGCAGAAAGACAGTATGCTTAGTAAAGTGGAGGGCTGGCCAAAAAGAGGAAGGAAGAAGAGCCCCAACCAGGTAGATTGACACAGTAGCATCCAACAACAGTCCCTCCCGCTAAGTGAATTCAATAAAACAGTAGACCTCGGTGTGTAAAGAACAGATAAACCAAAGGATGAGTTTAAATCAAAAGCCAAACCGGTACCATTCAGTGCATTCCAACATAAGTAACACCACATGTGTCAGAGAACTTGCCATGACTGGTGATTTAGTAGAAGATACCAGACTTTTCTACCAAGGTACCTCTTGGTGGACTTGAACCTCCAACCTTTCAGTTAGCTGCTGAGTGCATTCCACTGTTTGCACCACCAGGGATGCCAGATGATAGGTAACCTTTACCATCAAGTCGATTCTGATTCACGCTGACCATGTGGGTCAAAATATAACTGCCCCATCAGGTGTCCAAGACTGTTAATCTGCAGGGAAGCAGACTGCCACACTTTTCTCCCGCATGCGGTTTAGTAGGCTCAAACCTCTGGTCTTTTGACTAGCTGTCTAGTACTTACACACCTAGCCATAAGGCTCCTTCAAAAGATCGACAAGCCCTTGTAAACACACCCCTTCAGTTCCACACCTCAAGGCAGAGGAATACTGTGTTATCTGATGAAGGTCTCTGACTGCCACATAGCAGCAGTGCTAATCATGGTGGCATTCTCAGAGTCTCTCTCTGTAAGGGGGTGGCTGTCACAGGCCCTGAGTGACTGTTCTGGATGAAGAGCCAGGGGCCATCAACAAATTGTAAAGGCAGCCTAGTCAATCCAGGGTCACTCACCTTCGGAAATCTCTGTGAGCTAGCCATGTCAGTGAGTATCTTCATGCGCCCAGAGTCCAAGCTCCTGTCCTCTTGGGTGTACACATGCTAGTGGGCAGAGATTCACCCTTATGTATGCAAAGTATATATGTAATGTCACACATATGTTAGGCTCTGGAGAAGAACGCAGTGAACGTAACAGAACCATGTGGGGAAGAGCAAAGGGGAGAGAGAAAAATGACCTGGGAGTTCGGCTTCCACAAGCAAACCATGGTACAGTGTCTCTGAGTAGATGATAGACACATGAGCCAATTAAGGTGACTTTTTAAAAATACATGAAAACTTATTTCCTCAAAAGAGTGGGTTTATTTAAAACATGTATTACCCACTTGCATTTATGATTTATTAACTACATGCATCAAAGTACAACTTGTCATTAAAAGGCGTGTGTCTTTTACAAAACAAGAAAAGGAATAAAACACTGCAAAGCCATTTAATAGCAAAGATCTTGAATCCTAGCTATAACCTATTTATTGGGTCCTATGGCTTCCTGTATATTGTAATAATTATGCATCACTAGCCATCATCTGAATAGGTAATGTGGCTGGGGAAAGGGCAGTGAAGAGAAACAGTGTCTTAGGAAGGGATTCTTAAGGGCAGTAAAATGATCCTTAAAGGGACACAATTCCTAGTCCAATCCCAGATTTAAAGATTATGCTATAAAACACTGGCTCAGACTGTTGCCAGATAGTCCTCCTCCCCCACTTAAGGCCATCTGACGTATTACATAGCTACATTTCGTTTCTGGTTCACTGCTAAACCCCCAAAGCCTGGAAAGATGTCTGAGACATAATAAGTTACTTGTTAAATATGTTTTGAATATATATTACTATCCAATTCTCCTCACTTCAGACTTGTGCCTGACTTACTCTCTTGAAGGCTTCTCGAGGCTGTGCACACCATGTCCTCAGGTTCTCCTAGGGCCATGCTTCCTGCTGTCACATACCATCACTTTAAGAGCTTTACACACCAAAAAGGAGCGTAACTTCAGGAAACATGAGGGAAAAGTGAGGTTCCCAGTAAAATCCTTTGTCATTGAAGATGCGGGTAGCCTTAACTGGAAAAAGAATAGTTCTCCCAAAATACTATTCCTCGCTTTCTCAAAAAACAGGGAGGAGATAGAAATGACTGCCCCACTGGACTGTTAACAACAAGGTCAGCAGTGCAACAGCCAGCAGCCACTCCTCAGAAGAAAGCCTAGACAGAGTTGCTTTGAGTGGGAACTGACTCCACAGCACACAGGAGCAGCAGCACCCCAGAGGATGCTCCTCTTTGTTTCTGACCTCCATGACTGAAAACCAGGAGCTCCCTCCCATTCAAAGAATGGCTGGAGACGTGATTGGATAGTCCATAGGTCTTTGACCTCCCAGGCCCTCTGGCTCTGGTTGTGAATCTGGGGCGCTCTGTATTTGTCTCGCACTCCCTGTAGTTAGGCCATGCATTGACCCTTTATAAAGGTCTAACTGCTTGTAGCTGAAACAGGTTGTGGGACCTAGTGCTTGTCCTAACCTCATTGGTAACCCAAGCTCACTATCTCCTCCAGTTTATGTAGATCTTGGGAAATAGGTCATAAACATTTATGAGGAGGATCTTAATTACTGTGTTATTCTTAGCTACTTTGTGTTATCACCTTATCAACTTCTATCAACTCTATTGTGATATTTTGGAACAGTTTCTCCTCTAAAAGTAAATTTTAAGACTATTTAAAAACTAAAAATACATCATGGGAGGTGTTGCGTCAAATGATTCACTGTACCATATTTTAATAATTTCTGATAATATGATAATTCCCCAAACCCAAAAAAACTCACTGCCATCTAGTCAATTCCAAATCCTAGCATCCTATAGGACATAGTAGGTGTCTGAGACTGTCAATCTTTACAGGAGCAGACTGGCACTCCTGAGGAGCAGTCTCTGGAGGGTTCCAACACTCAACCTTTCGGTTAGGACCGAGCACTTTAGCCGTTGTACCACCAGGGCTCTTTAATTCTCTGAAAGATACTATGAATTCATTTTCAGAATTATTTAGCAAATATACCCTGACAAATGTATCATCAATCATGAGAACTTTCCGTATATAAACTGGTCGTGACCTTTTTCAGCTCTACAAATACCAGTGAACATTTTGAACAGTCAGAATACTATGGAGGTAAGTGTACTTACCCCAGTGTTCATATATGATTTTAATTTCTTTCAGATTATACCGAAAAGAAGTCCTACAGAAATTAATAGAAAAATGTGTTTCTAAGGGCTATGTCTTTCAAATGGAGATGATTGTCCGGGCGAGGCAGTTGAATTACACTGTTGGCGAGGTATGAAATAGAAGGTGATCGTGTGTTAAATTCCTCAGAAAGAAAACTTCTTAATAATACATTGTTTTAACTTTGGTACTATTAAATTAACTTGAAAGGCTTCCAGTTGTTTAAAATATCCATGTACTCAAGAATGAAAATTCAAATTCCTGTTAAATGTGCTTGACTGACCCAAGTTTAATAGAAGGTAGCTCTCACTTGTAAATAATTAAAAGTTGCTGATACCTTCTCCATCCTGAACCTTTCTTGGACCACCAGCATTAATGGGATGAGCCTCGGCATTGTTTTCCCTCTGGCCCTACTTTAAAGGGAATGGTGAATCCCACATACTTGTTTCCTGTGAGTAGATGAAAATTACTAGGGATTACAGAGAAGGCCTAGAGGTGTCTGTAATACTTAAGGAAAGCTCGTGAGCTCTAGGTAGCAGTAGTGGTTACGAATTGGGCTGCTAATTTCACGGTCAGCTGTTCGAAACTACTAGCTGTTCCGCAGGAGGAAGATGAGGCTTTCTGCTCCCGTAAAGAAACCTTTTGCAGGGTCCCTATGAGTCGGAACCAACTCCATGTCACATAACAATAACAGTGAGCTAGTAGGGAAACCTGTCCTCATTTAACACTAATATCATTATTCACAGCAAGAAAATAGCGCCTAAAATGCCACTTCTCACGGCAATTTATAAGCCTTTTCAAATAATGCTAGAAGAGTCGGTTCCAACTCATATTGACTTCTCATAGGGTTTCTGAAGGATAGCTAAATCTGATGCAGACTTTTAAAAAAATTAAGCAAAAGGCCGTTTTACTTGTGGAGTATAGTTTTTCTGTAAATTTCAGCAAGACTGACTTTAATGTATTTTTTGTTTTTTTAAACTAGGTTCCAATATCATTTGTGGATCGTGTTTATGGTGAATCCAAGTTGGGAGGAAATGAAATAGTCTCTTTCTTGAAAGGATTACTGACTCTCTTTGCTACTACATAAAAGAAAATTACTCATTTATGTTTATCATGTTCATGTCAATTAAAACGTAAAAGAAGTCTAGTTTGATGATTTTTATGAAATGTATTGTTAGAGCATAAATCATAAGGTAAGGTATATTTCATGTAAGTTTTTTTTTCTGGAAGAAACACCACTGTTTAATATTTCAAAATTAAAGTAGAAAAATGAGTTTTCTCAATTTTCATTTATTTACCTTTCACTGTATTATGATCGATAAATAAATGTATATGATTTTTCTGTGCATAGAGTACTGCTACTTTCATTAGAGTATGTGCTTGCAGAATTTCTTAAATGGAGACTATTTTTCAGTATTCTTTCTAAAAACTGAATTCCTAGCACTTTGTACCGAACATATGTCAGAAAAGGAATGTTCATTACATTCTCGCAGTGTCGATGATTGTGTCGGTCAGCGAGACAACACTGCTCACCTTGGCCCTTTCCTCAGCTCAGAGATACAGCTCAAGCTTCTTAAATCAGGTCTATTTAAGAATACATTAGGAATTGGAAACAACTTGGTGATCGTTGATTGCATAGCTGGTTCTCTGTTTTGTTTTTTAACTTTTCTAATAACCCCTATCAGTAAACATATTGAAAACATTGAGGCACAAACTTAGCTCTGTGGTAATTTTTAAATATCTTACTGAATTACTTTAAAGATGTTTTCTCAAAATAGTTGTTTTCATATTATTTCAAGACCCTCATTAAAGCACACATACTTTACTAATGTAACAAAAATCCCTTCCTGATAGCTCTTCTCTCCATTGAAAAAGTTCTGCCAGTTAAAATACAGTTCTGTAGTAAATCCCACTGCTAATGTTCTGTTTACCTGCCTTCTGTAAAGGTAGTTATATCAAAAAAAGGTCAACTATTTTTCTAGTGGTACCATAGATTTTGAAGCATACTGTATATAGTTTAGATAAGACATACTTTGAGCAAATAAGTTTAAGATCAAGTTGGCTTGACTTTGCAAGCTTTAAAAGGGTGTCTCTAACTTATTTAATAGGCTTCTTTGGTGGACTCCTGGTGTGCCACTGTAGGATAAGCATCCTTTGGACCACAGTGTCAGCGTGGTTCAGACCTACCAGCTGCTTCTCAAAAATCCTGTACAGGGTCACTATGAGTCAAAACCGACTCAACGCACTTGACAATTTAGTGAATATTATTTCTATTACTACATTTCTACATTTTCCAGACTTAATTTGGCTATGGAAGACATTTTTAAGTCTGAGTTTGTCATTGGCATTTTTCTCAGATTCAACCAGAAATGATTGCCTGAGTAGAAATTCTTTGGTGACATTTTTAAAAACTTTTCATTGTGATTTGAATGAAGGTTTACAGAGCAAATCAATTTTCTATTCAACAATTCATGCATGTTTCATGTCAATGCTTGCAATCCTCATAACATTACTCCACTTCCTCTTTGTTTCTCATTTCCATTCCTTCTCCTCTTACTAACCCTTCCTTCCTTTGTAACTTTGCCCCTGGGCAAATGCTGCCCCTTTGATCTCAAATGGTTGCTTATTCCAAGGATTGTTTTACTTCCCTAGTGTTATTGTTCACATTACAGAACCTGTCTACCACTTGGCTGAAAATTGAACCTGATGATGAGTTTAGTTCTCGACCTGAAGGGTGACTAAGGGCCATTGTCTTTGGGATTCTACTAGTCTCTATCCAACCAATAAGCCTGGTTGTTTTTTTTTAATGATTGTGGGTTTTGTTCCCCTTTTTTCAGAGTGGTCAGTGGTGATAGCTGGACTCCTTCTCGTTCTTCTGGTCTCAGGGTCGTGAAAGCTGAGGGTTCACATGTTCTATTGGACTCATTGTTTCCATGCATCTTTAGTGTGCTTCCCTCTTCTTTGTTCTGGGCAGAAAGAGACTTAATAGTTGCACCTTAGATGGCCACTCACAGTCACTGAAGACTCCTTACTGTCCTCTCTGGTGTTGGTTTGATCATTAAAACTTCCTTCCCTCCCCAGAGTTGACTGTGTGGTCTACATTCCAATAAGGACTCCCATTACTCTTTTGCCCAGAGCTATTCAAGGGACCCATGAGGGACCCACATTTTGGGGGTAAATGATTTCTCTCATGGTGATCTCATTAGTAACTAGAAAATTCATTAATGTTTGATGTAAACTATTGGTTTTAAAGTAATGTAATAGAAACGTAAATATTCTCATTGTTTTTGAGTAATTTGATTCCAAATCTCGTCTTTATAATTTACACCCAAAGTTAAGTTTTCAGTATCACATAATGTGAAGAGATTAAGTGCCTAAGAGAACCCACAACAAAGGATTGCATTTCAGAGCTCACTAGACTAGGTAACTTCTGTCTTTTTTGCTCTGTTCAGTTCTTAGTTCCACAATTACATAGAAAAAACTTTGAGCAGTGAAGACTACTTAAAAGACATTTAGAAAAGAATTTAGACTATTTAGATACAATTTTGTGGTGAATCTAATGACTTAAATCTGTTAAAAAAAAAAAAAAAAATTCTCAAACTTTTTGCATCTGAATCCAGCATCCCGTTTTTTTGCTTTATACTTAAGGTCAAAGATGAAATTCATATGTTTTCTTCTGTATTTGTATGATGCCAGTATGAAATCTAAGCATATCTAAAGGAAACTAAAGAAAAAATTTGCTTTATCTGTTTTTACCTGTCTTATGTGTAAATCGATTCATTTTTATTCCTTTGACTCAAATGCATTGCCCCACCTTTAAAAAAAAACAACAACATTGTATAATCTTGAAATACTGGCTGGGTTTTTATGAATAGGTTTTAATCACAATTTCAGAAATTACTGGAATACTGTGTTGAGTAAACAAGACAGTTTAACCATAATCTTAGATGTTTAAGTACAATTTACACTACTTTCAGTTCAGTTCCATTCTTTTGTGATGTAAATATGGCTTGGAACTTTTTTTTAATGGAAATTTAAAAAAATAAAAGACAAGTGTAATCACTGAGCACTTAACTAAAGTCAACAGGTTGGTGAAATTACTCCTGCCCCATAGGTGTTTAACTTTTCTTTATGCATACCTAAAGGAGCACTCAGATGCTCCCCTAAGACTGGAACCCAGAAATGTTGATGGCACATTGCTTGGGGTTGGCCAACATATATTTACAATGGCCAAACTCTGTGTGATGGGCAGTCATTGTGTCCAGGAGCACAAAGTAGTTCTCAAGGATCCTGTGAGGCCCATTGGCAACAGCTTCACCAGTCCAACGGCCTCAACACAGGCCAGAGAAAGTACATCACTGTGACATGGAAAGAAAGGCAAGTGTCAGGCCAATAGCCAACCCTTCTGTCAAGATCAACTGTCTACCAAAGGCCCCAGCGCACCAGGAAAGGCTCCGGCCTTCCATGGGGTTGTGGCTCAGCGTGAGGCAGGAGGCATCAGGCCGAGGCGGCCAGGTGCCCGGCCGCTTCCCGCCGCGCGGCCCAGCCTGTAGGCGTGGGGCCTCCGAGCACGTGGAGCCGCCCCGCGCGGCCCGCACACCCCCTCCCGTCAGATGTAGTCCAGGCCCAGCTGGGCCCGCGCAGGGATTCCCAGCGCGGCCACCTGACTGAGTGCTGGGCGTGCTGCGGCCCGCCGCTTCTGCCTCCGCCGCCGGCTTTGCGGCCAGAGGAAGGCGCCCGCCGTGCACACGGGCCCTGGAAACGCACTGCGGCCATTATCCGCGGCGCCTCCTAGCGGGTCAATGGCAAATACTCCTAGTTCTCGCGAGATCGCCCTCAGTGGGGATTATATAATTCCCCTCAGGCAGGGTGGGAGAGTGCTGGTGGCACCCTCCCTCAGAAAAAAGTTAGGAAGGAGAAGAAGTGGGAGTTAAGGAGCTATCGTTGGGAGTTGGAAGTGAGGGGGGTACTGTCCCCTACTGCCCCCCCCACTTGGCTGGACAATGAGTCCTCTTATGCTAATGAGGCTTTACGTCACTTCCGCTCTTTCTCGGCCGCCATTTTGGCTAGGGCAGGTTCGGGGACTCGCTCCGAGGCGCTTGTATTGTCTGCCGAGGGGAGACGCGGGATCGGCCCCCTCCCCCGCCCGTTGCCGCCGCCGCCTCCGCCGGCCCGGTCTCCCCTCCGCCGCCCGACGGGATCCATGAGCTGAACTCCCGCCCCCCGGCCGCCGCCATCTTGTGCCCCCTCCCCCTCCCGCGGGCAGCGCTCAGGGAGATTTTGGCGTCTCCTCAGGCACAGCTCCCTCTCTCGGTCCCCGCTGCTGAGGAGCGAGAGGAGCGCGGCCGCCGCCAGCCTGCCCGTACCGGTGAAGCCGCCTCTCCCCAC